ACGATATTTGTGCAATTCGGATTCGTTATCCAGTTGGAACGCCTATTATGCTGAGGGCACCGATTTCGTGGAGCGGATCCGCGGCAAGGATCGGCAACGATTCCATTTTCCAAAAGTATGTATGGTATGGTTCCATTTTTATGATAGTCAAATCAAGCCAGAACGCAATTATCGAGCAGTGCAAACTTTGCCTTTATTACCTGATACTTTGCCGTACCTTATAATGTAGATAATTTTTCGGTTACCGTAGCGCTTCAGGAGGAAGGCGATCGATTTGATGGATGGGATTTAAAAATGTGCTTTGGTGACATTTACCTGCTGACGCTGGAACGCTTGTACTACTTTAACGAAAAATCTGGAAAGGTATAAAAGTACATACAAATACCAGAAAGAAGGGTTCAGGTTACTTGCTTGGAGCTGCCAATCAAAGGATCTGCCGAAGCTGGTCCCTATCACCGAATGGAAGCGATGAATTATATAACGAGAAAAGAACCGTACACGGATCTGTTGGTAGTGGTTGATGGTAGGATCTATGTAGGAAAACATTGACTGATACAGCGTGTCCCAAAAAAAGGAAATCAGAGGAGTTAAATAAGGCTCTTAGAGGGGGAGAAACACTGAGGAGAAATGTCCCTTCCGGTTATCCAAATTCCATATTTTTTACAATTACTAATATTTTTTGGAAACTGTCCGAATTTTTCGATGCTTCTCCGATGAACCGGTTTTCTTGCAAAATCACAATTCCTGAATTTTCACGTTTTTCTGCGTGAGCCCAACTTATTGAAAGCCATTTGAGAAAACACAGCCGGGATGCACATAAAACGATTAAGTTGATTTTTATCTTGAAAAACGTGTTTTCTTGGCAGAAAAAGTGTCGAAAATCGAGCCAAAAGTTCGGGATTTTCGAAAATACCGGAAAAATCCCTCCGCTCGCCTACAACTTTCGATAACTACAAAAATCGTAAAAAAACAGACGCATCTATGCCCCTCCGAGGATTTTTTCAGACACCCTGTAGACAAATCATTCCATTTTCAGATATGATACTGCGCTACTTTGTGGACCGGTTAAACAACCAGATAAATATTCTCCATCAATACAGCCCCTTCGTGGGCAGGATTACTGCCTGGGATCCCTGGCATGAGGTACGCAATCACGATAAATTGGATAAATACGAATTTCAACAACGTAAAACCATAAACTTTAGTGTGTGGCAGGGGCTAATGGAATCGCGCGGTTGGACAGGAAGGCCAAGCCAAAAATCGAATCGATTGACCATCATCTCGAGCAGCCGGTGCCCGAACTCAGTAAGGAAGAGATTGCTCAGGTAAGGCGGCGATTCTGACCATGAGCGTAAGCCGAAGGTGGTGTCTAACAAGGGGAGGTTGCGAAGTTGAAGTTGAACTTCGTAATCAAAGATCGTTTATCTGGATCAGTTTTTCTACGCTGATTCCGGATCCGTAGCCAGTTTTTGCTATCGCCATCTTTCCATTGGGATATTTTGTAAGCAAAGGTCACAATTTTGGCTGTGCAAAACGGCACCAGAATTCATGATTTTACGTTATCCTAATGCCAAAACTCCTCTTGAGTGTCACTAGAAAGATATAATTTTTTTTATAATTGTATCAGATTAACTATAATTTTTCACGCCGCTGACATGAAATTTGGGGATTTTTTGAAATATTCCCGCAAAGCTACGAACAAAGTCCAACTCCGACTTCTTAACATTTCCTGCAAGCCTTGAGTAACCGAAATCCACGAAAAACTCACCTCTTTAGCTCATTTCGAGGTCGATACCGGGCTGTCGAATCTTCTTGCACAACGGGTTTGCTAGAAAGTTTTTGTCAAGTAATCCCAAATTAGACAACTCGTCCAGTACCGCGAACATGACTTCGGTTTCGTCGCGCCAAATCTGCCACCACGACCTTACGTTTCGATCCTGGACAGCAATCCAGCGTTGGGTCGCTACCTGATTCTGAGGAACGACAACAAGGTCGACTATGTCGAAGCAGATATAAATGCTGAAAATTGTACGTTCCGTTTTGGATTTGTTGTGTCCGCGAGTGAGCTTGCCTCTTGTGCTTGATGGATCACTTGCATCGAATAAACGTTAGAAGTTTATTCGTAAGAGCTTCAGGATAAAAACGGATTAGAGCGAGAATTTAGGGAGAAAATCCCATCAGTGGAAAGACATTACGATACGTAATCCCGAGTGATTTGAACTGGGGCGGATTACGGTCACTGGGTCACAGGATAGGCAGTGGGGGGAAAAGAGACTAGCTTTTTCTCTCCACAACAGGACTCATTCTTTAGGGTGTCAAGCTTTTCGACCTAGCAGTTTAAAACTGTCAAAAAAGCCGATTTAGACTGCCATCCCGGGGGTCCCAAAAACCCACCCTTACCTAGCGCTCCGCAGACGTGTCTGATTTTTACGCTTTAGGTATTTATCAAAAGATCTCCACGAGATAAGGAGATATGTTCACCCCTGTTTCGAAGTTCCGGAATTTCCGCCAGGTTTTCTTCATTCTCATGTCAAGGTTACACGTTTTGCAAGAACCTCCAATATATCGGCTTAGGCGCCATTCCAGCAGTGTTTTTTTCAACTGGCCTTAAAGGGCACGTTCAGGGACGTTTTTTGGCAAGAAAGCAAAGATTTTCGCCGCGGCCGGGGGTCGAACTCGCGCCTCCCGTTTGGGTTCGGGTTCGGATAGCAGTCAGCCACAGGTGCAAGCTGGCGGGAGGGCGAGGGGCGCCCCACCCAGGAAAGGACGGGTATTGCCTCCCAGGCCTGGACGCGGGCTGGCCCGGGCCGGCCCGACAACCCCATTTTTCTTGGCCCGGCCCGGCCCGACTTTTTGAGGTAAAAACCGGGGTTGTTCAAAAACCTGCCACCAAAGTGGTTTAACACCTTTTGAAGGTACTTAGCTGTTAATACAGCGTTAGTGTGTCCTTTTACAGCTTTTTCCGAAAAGAAAATTCCAGTTTAAATTAACAACGATTTTTAAGGGATAAATATCGATGGAGTTTAGGATAATAAAGTTAAATTCAACCATTTGGGGGTCTAATTCTATTTTAGTGGATAATTTCATGTTTCATACGTTACTACGATGTACCATTATATTTCTATGAAAAAACCCAGTCCGAATGACTAAAAAATCCAAAAAGCAAAAAGATGGCACCGGGTGGGATCGAACCCGGGTCGATTTCCTGGTAGGAGGTTATACCAAAAAAAGGTCCAAATTTAGACTGAGGTTATATAACAATGCCCAATAGGCTATTTGCGAGCGAGAAATATGCAAAATAGCACACAAATTCCGTCCAAAAACCTATTTTTTTACTTAGACAAAAATCTCGGGCCGGCCCCGGCCGGCCCGGCTTGTTTGAATTCTCGGCCCGGCCCGGCCCGGCCCGGAAAATCCCGATGTTTCTCGGCCCGGGCTGGCCCGCGTTTTGTCCAGGCCTGCTGCCTCCCACGGCACGAGCAGGCAGGGCGCGCGGCCTCTACGTCCATAGGGTGTACACGTTGGGCCGAGTACACGGCCCCTGACGTGCGCTTTAACAAAGCTGTCCTGGGCTGCGCGAAAGGCGCGAAGGCTCATAAACTGTGGATTTGCGAGAAAGCTAGGAGTATCAGAATTTCGGTCCATTTTGCAAAAATAATGATAATTGTAAGAAAAGTTCCCGAATTTCGAAATTATGCGCGCAAATCCTCCTCAGCTTTTCGAGAGCTTTCGGTAGATGCCTAAATCGTAAAAATCCGACACGACTGCGGGCCGCTAGGTGGCGGGTTTTTTGGGGCACGCTCAACATCAAAAGATATTCCGTGACTTTTTGATTTCATTGCAATCCCCCCAAAACAATTGTGAAAGTCGTCAAAACCAAAAACCCTAGGCTGGCCGCCAGCGCAAATCGAGCCGACGCAAATCGCCACGCTGCCCTACAATCCAGCCCTCCGCTATAGCATCAGCTTCAACTGGGGTTCAACCGACGAAATTTTTAGGTATATGGCTTCTATCGCGCAAACTCAAGGAATTTCAGAAGTAAATATGATGGGTTCTGCTTCATGGTTACGGATCTGCGGACCTGTTCGATCAAGGTGGGCAGGGCAACAAACAAGGGTCATGAAAAACTGTTTAGGTTTACGGCGCGCACGGAAGTCCCCTATTGGATCGGGGCGAACTTAATCCGCAACGCCGTCTGCTGCACGGCTTGCAGGGAGAAACTGCGTGGGTGCTTTCAAAAATTTTAATTCGCTAGGTTGCTATGTTTTTTGGCGTAGGCTTTCGTCCTACGGAATAGGCTTACATGCGACCGTTTTTTTGTTTGGCGATGAGACAAAGCTGATTAGAGGATTAGACATCGAACGACTAGAGATTCAAAGAGAAATTTTTCTGATAGGGTCAATTTTGCCGGATTTTTGCCGACGATTAATAAAATGTAAAATTTTCGTAAACTTTTCATGAAGACCTTACCATTCAGCAGTTTTCAAAAAATGCGTTCTGCTCAGAATTTGCCGCTCTATTGAAAGAGGTATGCGGCACCTTCATGTTCCAAAAGTTCCTCAAAACCTTTTTTTGTTAAACTCAATTCCAGTCCTCTACTATTTCAGACTCGCCAATGTGTCCGTGATTAAAGCTGGATTTCTGCTGACAGTGATGACTAACCGTATCGTCGTGGTCACCAGGTATTTTTAGCATTTTTAAGTTTTAGTCCCAAAATTAAGCCATTATTTCTTGATGGAGAGCACTACGAACACATACAAGTTCCATGAGATCGAGACTTTGATCGAGGGCCGTTATAGGTAAGGATTTGCGAGCTAGTTCAGTTACTGCTCGACCCATTTTGATAATCTAGGCACTGTTTAAATTATCCAACCCAACCCATTTCAGGTTGCCCCGCGGCCCACGGATTCCATTAGCCAGCGACAAAGGGCGAAAACGAAAAATTGTCGACTTTATCGCGCCAAACGATCGCGAGATACTGGTCCTGCTTGAATGTGGCTATGTGGTTTACTACAGATGGGGGCTCGTGTCGCCTCATTACCCACGTGCGTTTATTGAACTCTAGTTCTAGCAATATTTTTCATTCTTTTTGGTTTTTAAACCGGAAAACGGGCAAGAATTAGAATCTTTCTTGTATGAACGAATGTTCAATAAAATGCTCCATTCGAAGCGTGGGGCAGAATCGCGTTGGTGCCTTATTAGAATGTTAAAGCGAAAATGAAAAACGGCTCTAGCCTGTAATTTTTGTCCCACATATTCATGGACCCAATGGATATGGAAAGAGGGAACATCTTTTCTTCTATGCCGTCTAACATTTCAGAAAGAAATTTCCAAAGTTCGAATGTACGAACTTTGGTTCTAACCTAATATAGAGGCCGTCCCTAAAAATCCACACGCTAGCCGCCGACGCGAACGCCAACATTTAAACGTCAAAGCATCATAAAATCTGACAACATTAGTAAATGTTAGATAAATTGCGGAGTTTTGAAAGTAAGAAGACCATATCTCCACATCCCGTCGAAAGCTTTCGATAGATACCCAAATGTAAAAATCGGGCATACTTTTTCGGGGACACCTTATATAAATTCCTTTTAGATGAAAATGGAGCGCTACAGACTCGTTGGCGAAGTATCCCGGGCATGGTTCAAGCGCGCGCATTCCGGTGGTCGCCCAACGCTACCATACAGGTTGACTGCAAATTGGAAGTGACACCAGGGTTTTTTGTTTAGGTTTTCGGGTTTTCCGAGAGAACGCGTCATGACGGAACAAAGGTACGGCAATGCGTAATAACGGATGGCTTTTTAGATTTTGACACCGGCAGTTTATGACTTGGAAGAGAACTATAACAACATGACCTCCTGTCAACAAGACTTTCGCAGCCGTGCCGGGTTGCCGAAGCACAACTATGATTTGTGAGATTTATTGCGGGAGCCTGGAAGCAAAATCTTTCAGGCGGGAGCCGGATGGTGATGGCACCTATTCCCTGCGAATCGAATATCAGACGATGAACAACGGCTTCGGTTCTCTCACCTCACAAACGGTATTGATCATGCAAAAACTTTTTCGTGGAAGCCCTCGAATTTGCCAGGATAGCCTACGGATCCCAGCAACTCGGTTGACCCATCTACAGCCTCCGTTGATTAACCACAAGGTTGACAAAATTGTCACATGGCCGGTAGATGAACATGGATTTAGCTTGGTGGGTTATTTCCAGGTGGCTATATGTGCTGGAAATGAGGTAATATAACCGGTCGTATTTTTCAGATTGCGGCGATCGGACCGGCGCTGACGCTGATGGTGTATCAGCCGTGGTTCGGTGAGAAGGTGCACGATCATTGATTGATCTGAATTTTCAGAGAAACTAACGGTCGTGAATGAGCATTATCCCCGTTACCCTTGCGTTGATGTGGCATTTACAGGTGTCAAAGAGGAAGTGAGAGACTTCAAGTGGTTCGTAAAGTGCTGTTTAGGCCAGCAAAAACAAATTCCTTGGCGCTTTTCACATCAATGGATATATAATCCTGGCCACGGAGGCCGACGTCGAGATTTTGAAATTTTATTTGGGCGGACAGCCAAATGGTCAGTTTTTGTTTCATACCAGTTGACTTTACGTTGTTGTTTTGTACAGGGTATCCCATTAGCAAACAGCCCCCCCTAACGTAAGTCAAGGTAGACGTATCGGATCGGAATGATAGTTACACCCTTCGAAAACCCTTGCAACGGCGGGTTTGCATCAATCTTCAAAACCATGTTTTTCTCCAAAAGATTTATTTTACAAACCATTACCTAAGTGTTGTGCCTTGAGCGGTGTTGTTGCGCAGCGGGGCGAACACTGTTTGTTCAAAAACACAGATGAGCAAGACGTAATTTAGAAGTAGGAATAATACTGGGGAATCAGAGTGTAGAGCCGGGGAAAATATGCCATCGCAGGGCCCGTTGGGAGAGAGGACGCACCGCATCCGCGACGCGGCCCCGTTATGGTGACAGGGCACTGGATAGGCGAGGGCAAAAGGGAGTGACGGGAACAGGCGGGGGCGCCCGAAGCCGAAGCAACGCAACAATAAGCTTTTTGGGTTTTTTTTGGGGCTGCATACGAGCCAATTTTGGTTAAATTTTCTGAAGCGAATGGACGGAGCTGACCGTTAATTAGATGCAGAGACCGTTCTTTAAGGTTTTTAAGTTGGTGGTAAAATGACGTGTTTAAATAAAAGCATAGTTTAGAAGATTGGTCAAAACTGGCCGTTTCAAGGGTTACGTATGGTCTAACTATTGCGATCCGACGCTCGTCCATCGAGTTGAAGGAAGGGGGGGTTTGATCGGAACACCATGTCCTGTACAAAACTAAACACATTGTTTCCTTACAGCCCCATCCTGCGGCTCTGCTGGTTCGCCGCAGCCACGTGAAGACGTGGAAGTCGTGATTGTTTCCAGAAGCATTTGCCATGTTGGACTTCGCGTTTGCAGCATCTATTCTCCATCTATGGTTGAATTAAACGGTCGGCTAAGATGTATTTAGATTGAATATTTTCAACAAGGCATCTTCCATGTATTTTACGCGGCCGAGAGCCCGACAAACGCAGGCGCTTTACTTTATTGGGTATGCCTTGCCATTGATTACGCTTTTGCGCAAAGATCAGCCTTCGACAGTGCATTTGTTGGAGCATCGAGAGCAATCAGCTTCTAACAGTTTTCATATTGAGGCCTTCGCTTTAGAAAAATCTGCGTCAACGTGAGGCAAACGGAGTCATACATCCACGACGATGAGCGCGTGCAATGCCCAGGCTCGTTCGAACCGGGGCAACAATTTAAGGTATCAGCTTTGCTTAACGCGGGGCTGAAGTGTGAATTCAAAATCCGTTTGGGAGGGCTCTTTGATTTCTGGCTAATTGTCAGCGTTTCACGCGGGACGAGAGCGAGATCAGGACGTGGCCACAGCCGTTCTTCGATTTGGTCGTGAGAACACTATAATTGGCAGACTCTGACCTGTTTTTTGCAATCCTCACAGAATTCTGAATAAGTTTCGTCTTTTAATCACCGATTTGGCTCCGAAAACGCAGAGCAGGGGGTTCTGGAAGTCACGACGGGGAAATTCAAATTTGCGCGCTTCGCGCGCTTTGGGCGTACAGAGACCTCGAACGTACAGGGCTCCACGCTCCCGTTTAAGAAAGTTCGTTCTCCATTTATATGCACCTCCATCCCCGGATTTGCTTTGAATAACTATTTCAGCTGCTGCTCAAACGCAACCCGGACGGTGAGCCAACTCTAGAAGTTTACTGTCCAATCGCCGCGAACCCGACGAGATTTGTAGGAATTTTCAAACTTTAACGCCTACTTTTTTATAGAAATTCGGTGTCTGGGACTTAGAAAGCGAGTCCTTCGAGTTTGTCAAAGAGGTGGCCGCGTTTGAGGCGATTGAAGATCGAGGAAAATTATATTCGGTACGATTGAAAGACGTCAAACTGAAAATTTTAATTTAGTTGCGGTGGCAGGATACCTATTATACGGTAAAAACACGCATGGTCGACGCAACGTTGCAACGGGCGAGTACGATCGAAGCGGATGGTGGTAGGGCTTTCCGTTCTTATCGGATCTTTTTAAGCAAATTTTAAAATTGGAGAATTGCTAATAGCTATTTACCTTGGATCTTTCAAATCTAGGTTTTTTCGCATGATCGGGGGAAGAAGTCTTTTCTTCGTTTCATCTTGTTCTTTTTCGTTGTCGTTTTATTCGTTTATTTGCATACGATCAGAAGTTTATTAACAGAATCAAAAGGTTTTTTGCTGCTTTTAAATTGTGGTAAATCTAAAATCTATTAGAAGCGGAAAACTATCCAAAAATTCTTAAGCTCCTTTCAAAAATTCGAAATTTTAGTCGAAACTCGTTATTTTTTGATTTTTGAGCAAAACATGTCTTTATAAAATGAAGTTTAAAACCATTGATCTACTGATTTAAAAACATTAGAAATTCGGGGAAATCCCCCTCCCCGATAATGTAAAATTGCCGAAAACTAAATATTTTGTTCCAGGCCCGACCTTCTTCTTCCACAAGAAAGATGGTGAATTTGGTTGGCTGTTGGCCAAAAAATCTAATGGGAGCCCCGTAATTTTAAATGGCGTTTCTAAAGTAAATTATTTTTTAGAATTTCTTCCCAGATAAATGCCTAACAGCAAGGGCCAGGCAAGCTAAATTCGAGAAATGGGCACCGATCTTACGGTAAAACTTCCGGGGTCACGATTAATTTTTTTTAGAAATCATGCAATTCTGTACAACGAAGATCATCTACAAATCGTACGCGCGTGCAGATGCCTCACCGAGAAGCAAACCTAATTATGCTTTAAATGTTGTATATTGCTCACCCTTGCCTGTCTATGACTTATGCATCTATTGCCGCCTTACTACCTCCCAATGCGTGTTCTCGTCTTGATCCCTCGTGATTTACGGTTCGAAAATCTTGCCTAATAAAGCCTATTTATAGGCGTATTGCGTATAGAAAAAAGCTTAAAAGAAAAGCTTAAGGGCTCACGAGAAGCCTCATTTCTTCAAATAAGTAGCCCATTAGAATATTCCTTAACATGAGGGAGAAAGGTCTAAATTCACATGGAAAACGGTCTAAAAAATTTCCGTGGGATGCCGGCTGAAATGATGTAAAAAATGTATAAAAATACCAGTATGGAGCTTTCAATCTTTTTGGCTTAATTTAGCTTTACATTTTCTCCTGAAACTCAATCAAGTTCTAATCAATCGTCTGCATCCAAAATCCAGAAACATCTGCCAATTGCCGCTCGTTTTTGAAAATCTAAAAGGTTTTTATTTATTAAGGTCAAAATACATTTTTTAATTTTAGTCTGCATTTCGCAAAAAAAGCACCAATATTGATCCAATATCCATTTTAGCGGATGCCTTTCTCGGTTTAATTTGCCGGTTTTGCTTTCAGTTTTTTTTGCCATTTGAAAACAACCTAACGCGTAGGTGTTTCTTCGAAAGGTTCCGAAGCACACGTTTTGCCCTTTGCAAGGGCCCGATGACTCATTCTGGGGATTTGCTTACGCGAGGAATGCTTTGGGAGAAATCAGGCAAATGCGCCGCCTCATCCCCCATTTAAGGAAAATTACCGTTTATTGTATCATTATTTATATTTACCAATTATTTGCGTTAAATCTAGAAAAAATGGATTCTCGACCACGACGCTCGGCGCCCACATTTTATCCGCCGACCCAATCTCCCAGGAGCGCGATTATGGAGTTGAAATTCTACGGAAAGAACTATATAATCGCAGGTTCGAAGTTTTCCATTTTGATTTTGATTTTTGAATAGTTGTATGAGCAGCTCGAAATAACGCAATTCAAAAAAGTGAGAGCAAAACAGAAATGATCTTTGAAGATGGGGATGTAAGCTATCGTCAACATTTTCGCTATTTATGGCTATTTTAAAAAGGCCATTTGATAGAGCATCGAAAAACCAAGCTAAATTTTGAACTTTAACTGAAGAGGGCCTGAAATAAAATTATTATTATGGCAAAAGGGAGCATAATCTGGGCGTTCTGTCGAACACTAATTATTTCATTTTAAAATTTATTTTCGGAGAGTTGTATTTTTACCGGGAGATGACAGTTGGGACCCAAGACTACCCTTTGTTAACCTAGGCCTAAGCTATACATGGGCGGTCACCCCGGCGGGTCACCCTGGGGGTGACCGCCGCTCACCCCCTGGGGGTGACTGCAATGGCACCCTGGGGTGACCCTCCGGGGTGACAATCCGGTCACCCTATAGATGCAAAGTGCTGCATTCAAATAAACTTCTATGGCAAGATGCCGGTGTTTGGCCGCAAATATCATAAATTTTTCATTTTAATCGAGTATAAAACACCCTTCAAGCGGTAGTGGGAAAGTATGTAACTTAAATTAAAAAAATTTAGCCTTCTGATCGCTGCCTACAGCAAATTCTTGACCGTTGGTCATTTCCATCTAAGTAATTTGCGTGGATAGGGTGATCCGGTTCCGCACCCTCACCCCCACGAAAAATGGAGGGGGTGACACCCCATCGTGCCATTCAGTCACCCCCAGGGGGTGAGCGGCGGTCACCCCCAGGGTGACCCTCTGGGGTGACCGCCCATGTATAGCCTAAGCCTAGGCCCAAACGTAAGTCCGGGCCCAGGCCGACGCCTACGCCTAAACCTAGGCCTAATCCTAAGCCTAAGCCTGAGCTGAAGCCCAAGCCCAAGCCCAAGCTCAAGCCCAAGCCTAAGCCTATGCCCAAGCCAAGCCTAAGCCTAAGCCTTAGCCTCACCTAAGCCTAAGCCTCAGCCTCAGCCTAAGCCCAAACCTAAGCCCACACCTAATCCCAAGCCTAGGCCTTAACTCTTAACTTTGGGTTGCTTAAATCCACGTTATGACTTCTGAAGGGATCTTACTTAATGAATTCTAGCGATCGGCCACCGCATCGAGCTAATCCCAATTCGTGCCTCCGCCCCTCACCTGCCGCAAACCCCTGGCACCCAATATCTGTTTCCCGTGTTCGATCGAGGCGAAGATATCGTGCAGATCCAAACAGATTTGTTGCCGGATGAGAAAGGTTTTTTCCTTTTAATGGTTAAAATAAGGCATTCAGACGCCATTGTATTTCTGCATACGCGTACTCTGAAATATGCCGGTCTACGCCTCAGCTCCTTGCTTGCTTATATTTTTGGTCCCTGGAAAGCGTGGGTTTTGCTCTCCGTATTTGAGGAATTTTAGAAAGCCAACATTTCACCAACAAACCCACTAAAAAAATTCAAGCACCGCACATTTCGGGCCATCTGGTGTTTTAATTTTATTTTCAACCAGGCTTGAAAAGCTGCTTCGCGACTTTTCAACCCTGGCCCCCGTCTGATCCCATGAAATTTTTCACTTTGCATAATTCGCCCGAATGGCGATGAGAAAAAATGAAAAATGCTCCCGCAGTCCGTTTATATCGGCTACCATCACTTCCGCCCTATGCTAATTATTCCTAACAAAGAAGCTTTTACAAAAACTTAAATTTAATGTCGAAAATAGGTGATTTTGTTAAAGCTCATAAGCGTGCAGTCTTCTCCAGACCGTTGCGCACCTAATGACGTATCATACATACCTTAAAATTCACCCCCTATCGAGATATCCTCCGGACAGACAGACGGAAGTGGATGCAAAGTGGCACACACACACACACACACACACACACACACACACACACACAAACACTATTTTTTATATATAGTAGGATATCTGGCTTTTGCATCAAATAAAATTCTTGGAAATTTCAAAATACTATATCTTGAAAAGAAGTGTGAAAGAGATGGCGGAGAGAGAGAGATAGAGAACGAGAGAGAGAGAGAGAGAGAGAGAGAGAGAGAGTAAGAAAGTCGAAAAATTGCTAGAAAATGTTGGAAGAAGAGTATCTTAGCCACCGCCTACCGTGAATGCTTCCTTAGGCTGCCCGAAAACTGGAAGATGGTCTTTGGGACCCAAATAGAAGGTCATACGCAGCTTCCAAACACCCTGGATGCGAGTTCTAAGTGGTTTTTTAACGCTGGCGATCCGGATTTGCTTTCAATGAAGCTGGCGGTAAGCGCAGTTTTTTTTTGGTCTGGTCGATGATTAAAAACAAGCGGGTCTTGACTTGAACTTGAACTTTTGGCATTTATAAGGCTTTATTTGGAGGCTGTCCTATGGAGCTCCGCAAAACATACGAAGAACTGTATGTTCAGCTCCCTATTCAAAAGTATTAGCAAAAAAAAATGATTTTTCGAACAGGTTGAGCTGCTAGTTTTCATTTTTTGACGTTTTTCGGAGGTCTCAAAATTTTCGACATTGCTGCTCGTTTTAAAATATTTTGCGGGCGGCTTGTAGCAGTGTCAAATAAAGCTATAATATAACGATTTCACTTTCAAAGGCTTTGTCAGTTCCACGCCCTGTATTTAGCTACGCGGGCCGAGGAACGCGGGAATGAACCGCTATCTGACGGCGTACGAGCGGGTGAAGAAGGTCACCTTGCTGTACGAGGAGGGCACAAATGTTATTGTGGCGTGTTTTGAAGGCAAGAGCACTTCCTTGGAGTTTCCAAAGGTTAGTTAGATGGTGAAGTACTCGATTAGTACATGTTTCCCATAAAGTGGCATTTTACATTTGGCCTTCTTGTATCCCATCGGCCTGAACATCCAAACAAAGGTGGATCCTACCCTTAATAACCATAATCCCCACCCACAGCTCACTAGTTTTTGAGTTATACAGGGTGTCCCGAAAAAAATCGGCCCCTTTAGCGGTGCGGTTTTCACGATTTAGGTATCTATCGAAAGCTTTCGGAAAGGCGAGAAAACAAGCAGATTTTAGGAACAAAATCCATGAAAACTGCAGATTTTTGGCAAAATCAACATGCTAATTGCTTGCTAACGCTAACAGGACGACGCTAATTTTACGTTTATTAAGAAACCGTTGAATCTTGAACGTGGGCTAAAAAATCGTGTAAAACGAAAAGCGTTTGTTTTCTGGGCGGTTTCAGGGCTTTCGAATGGTGCAAAAATCATCCCGACCCGACCTTTCTCCGGACCGCTAGAGGGGGTCGATTTGTTTTTCGAAAGCCTGTAGAAAAATATTATCTTTTTTTGGCGGATTCCAGTGGGAATCGACCTAAATAAACATTCATTGTTGATGATGCGGCAAGCGTTATATCGCGAAGAGCTTTAAAACGGAGTTGCCAAATTATAAGATTACATTTTGAAAAGTATGGCCATCACATAAATCACAATTGGGGAGGTAGACTGCATTCGGACCTTTCTCATAAAAAACTTCAGCCGGAATCCGAGTCGATCGACGGCTGGGATTTGAAAGTTCACGGCCAGATGCTCTTGCTGCTCACCCGGAAGCGGTTGTATTTCTTCCGGTCAACGATAGGATTTGTATGCCGCCTTGACACCATTTTATCATCTAATTCCAGATCGTTTCCGTGCCACTACCCATCGAGGGGAGCGTCGAGGGGCCTATTAACCGGATAGCGACAAGGGTGTTTCCGGTTCCAAACAAACTTGATTTTTTTCTGATCGAGGCTTTGGTTTTGGTGGACGGTAAGTATCTGGCTGTAGAGTGTTTTCACATAGTCAGGAAATATTAGCGGCGTAGCCTAGCATGTACAGAATTTTGCGCTGATTCCGCTGCTTATTCGCCAAATTTTTGGAAAAACCCGCTTTCAAAAGTTACGGCGTTTT